GGTAGAGGGGGGGGGGGCGAAGGGTTAAGACCTGAAGCCTTAAGGCTGAAGACCAGAGGCTAATCTGAGGAGCAACACATGTCTGGATTGCTTAGTTGCTAAAATGTCTGCAGGTTGAAGGCAGGGCCCGGCTTGCCAAGTTGCATTCTGAGATTGCTGCAAGGGACGCCACAGAAGCAGAGCTGCGAAAGGCGATTCGTCTGACAGGTAGGGGGTCTCATCAGTGGCCAGTGTGACGTGTATAGGCCAGAAGTTTTCGGAGCTGGTTGCCTATCTCATTCGTTCGTGAAAAGTCAATGTGTCGTGTAGAATTTATTCATAAGGACCTCTTCTTTTGCCGTATTTAGCTTTGTGCTCCGGCTTTCAGTTGAGGTTCCTGTGACCTTATGCAGTCAACCATGTGACACTGCAGAAGAAAGGGTAAAGGGAAGTTCTGTGAGAGGAGTAATCATCAATTGTTGAGGTTCTTCGAGAGGAGGTCTACGAGTGGTTTCTGAATCATTCTCCATTTTGCTTCAGAGGAGGCCGTCAAGACCAAGTCCATGTTCCTGGCAATCATGAGCCACGAGATGAGGTATGTATTACAATCCGCACCAATCAGCATGTCACAATTGATAGTAGGACTGCGGAAGTTAACATGATTAGAAAGATATCATGGTCTTGTTGAGCGGCACTCGTTCTGTCTGCCATGCAGCTAGCTTTCGCATGCATGGGAGAAAGACGAGCTCTGTCACTGAAGTTCACTCTGTTATGACCAAACAGGACTGCCAATTCCTCATGACCAATGTTACACTTTCTGTCTTGCATTATGCTCAAAGTATTCTGCTTTGGTCTCTCTGAGCACCGCATACCGCTGCCTTAGAAGGTTCTGCTGGTTGCTGGTCACCTGCTGAGTTGCTTTGGCTCCTCTGTACACTGTGTATCATTGCTCTGCAAAAGGTCTGTTGAATTCGGTGCTGATTCGGCAAATGTCTTTCTCTTGCAGGACACCTCTGAACGGCGTTCTTGGCATGGCACACGTGCTTAACACCACCCCTCTGGATGAAGAGCAGCGCGAGTTGGTGGACGCCATGCTGGCGTCAGGCGACACTCTGCTGGCCATTGTTGACGACGCCGTTGACGTCAGGAAGCTCGAGTCAGGCAAGTGCTAAAATACAATAGCACGTTTCGGTGCCAGTTCTTATACCCTTGCTTCACATATTGCCTGTGTATCTTTTCTTTTTCCGCAATGGTCTCTTCTTTTTTCCATTCGACCACTCTGAATCTGACCTCTTCTTGCTGTAACCACTTGCAGAAGCATGCTCTCCTCTGTCGCTTTGCTGGTCTCCACGTTTTGTTTCAGCATCTCTGGTCGAAGAAACGATCTCCCCAAGCTAACATTCTCCCCACTGTCTTCCTTCAGGTGAAGTTTCCCAGCAACAACGCCCTTTCAACCCACACCAAATCGTCAACCAAGTTCTGCATATGGCAGCCGCTGCTGTTCACAGCAAAGCAATAACCTTTGAGGCCAATATCAGCAGCAACGTCCCAACCACGGTGAGCCACCACGATGTGCTTCTTACCTGGTTGGGTGTTTGAATCCCTGGAGTCATTCTGGTCAAAAGACAAGCAAGTAATCACCTTTATAGTCCAGGTCTGGTCTGACCTGACCGCTGGATGGTCTATGTAAACAAGACGATTTGACCTCTTTTGGCGAGAAACTTTTTACAAACGAGGAAGTTGACGGAGTTAACTCATAATAGTAGTAGTAGATTATACTCGTGATTGTCTGCTTGCTTTGACAACCGACCCCATTGCCTGCTGGCCACGTCTGGTAAGGATTGGCATGTAAATGGTCAGAAAGATCGCTGTTTCTTTTGCAGTAGTCGCAATATCGTTTCATTGACACTTATTTAGAATTGAGCCGTGATTCTTTCTAACGAGCTTTGTTAAAGAGATTTGAATATGTGAACAAGTGCCAAATCATAGGTAGGCTAAATTTGGGATTTTCTTGGTTTTGTTGTTTTTCTCGTCTGACGTCTTCTTTTCCTTGTTGTCCTTTTTGTCTGTCTGAAGTCTTCTTTCATGGTCTTCTGTTCTTCTCTTTGATTTTCTGGTCTGTTACCTTTTGGTGTACTTAAAATGACAGGCCCCTGCTTCTTGGACACTTCGCAATCACTTTACTTCACTCCTTGTCAAAGTGGTCTTGTTTTTGTCCACTGACCAAAGGCCATTTCCTTCCACAGATCCTTGGCGACGAGCTCCGCATCCGCCAAGTCCTCACCAACCTAGTTCACAACTCCCTCAAGTTCACCAACTCCGGCTTCATCCGCATCGGCATCTCCGTCTCCGACACCCCCCCTCCCTCAACCGAGCCCCCAACTTCAGACTCCCCCGACCCCCAGACTGCCACGTCTACTGATGACAGCGGGTGCGACAGCAGCATGACGATTGCCGGTGGCGAGGGCACAGTTTCCGACGAGGCGATGTCCAGAGGGTTCGGCCGGCGGCTGCTCAGTGCGCACGGCTTCCAGCTCCCGGAGTTCGACCTGGCTGAAACCAGCGAAGAAGAGCAGCACCCCGCGAGCACTCCCTCTTCCGTGCTCGACGTGGGGCCGCGAGACATGGACGAAAGCGGGCCGGAGCGCCGGCCGTGCTCTGAGGAGCCGGCCGCAGGCGCTCCGTGCTCCGGTTGCGGCGTCGCGGCCGGAGCGGAGGGAAGCCGTTGCACGGAACGGGAGTGCGGGACAGGGGAAGACGGCCAAGGGACTAGTGGATTGCACCGGTCGCTGACAAGGCACCGGTCCTTGGATAAGCAGGTTTGGGATGCGCCCCGCTCAGGGCCGGGGACGTCAGCCGAGCGGGGTCGGGGAATGGAGCGTTTGCAGCGGCAGAGCAGCCGGAGCAGCAGCGGCGGCCGGCAGATGAGCCCCAAAACGCCGCGGCGGGATCCGCTCCGGCGAGCCGGAACCTTGGGGCCCGACCGCGCGATACAGCGTGAGAACAGCCTCGCGAGCATCAGTGAAGGGATTTTGGATTTCGACGAGGCCGTCGGGCGGATCGAGGCCGATCTGGACCAGATCAAGTGCTCGCAGACGCTCTCACGAGAGAGCAGCCTGGACTCGGCGCCCGGGAGCCCCGCCGGGGGATCCCTCCGGTGGCAACGACGCGGCCCGGACGAGAGCTCCGACCGCCCGGGCCCGCTCCAGAGGCAGCCCAGCTTTTCGTACGCGACGGAAGGGTTCTCCGCGGAGGTTTCGGACAGTCCGAACCTGAGGGCGCTCGGACGGAGCACCAGCGCGTATCCGGAGAAGATGGAAGGGTTTGGGAACCTCGACGAGCGGCGGACCGCGAGCGAGCACGCGTTCCGGCGGTGCGGCAGCTTCGAGGAGTGCGAGGAGGTGCCAAAAGTGTGGCTGCGGGTCTCGGTGGAGGACAGCGGGTGCGGCATCCCGGAGGACGCATTCCCGATGTTGTTTGAGAAGTTCACGCAGGTAAGCGTCTACATGCTCCCGTTGCTTTCTAAGTTTCTCATTCGCAAGAGAGGAGAATCAGTGTAGCTTTTCTTTGCTCCTTCTGGTGTGGAGATTGGTAGCCAAGCGGTCGCTGGAAGTTGTTGCTGTGCTCGCGTTTGCTGCAGCAAACGAACTCATTCCGACTGAAGAAGATACTGGTTCGTAACATACTTTTTGCCGGTGTGCTCGCTCCACGATCCTGGATTGGACACCGTCGAGTTCCTTTACAAAGGTGTTCCGTGATGGGTGTTAAGTTTTGTCTCCTCCGTTTCGAATCGTTTCTCGCCCGCCTCGCAGTCTTTGCAAGGGCCTCACCGAAGTGTCTTGCTATTTTTACACTCCGTCAGCAAGATACCCAGCTCAGACGCTCACTCTCTGTGCGTTATCTGTGCGCAGGTGGACGCCTCCACAACTCGGCAGTACGGCGGCACGGGTCTCGGCCTGGCCATCTGCAAGCAGCTGGTGGAAAACATCCTGTGCGGAAAGATGGAGGTCGAAAGCACGCTGGACCAGGGGTCAACTTTCACTTTCACCGTTCCTTGCCAAAAGTCGGCCACCGATCCCGTTCCCCCACCGCAGCACGAGGCATGCAGCTCCCCCGGGAGGGTTTGCGACGAGCAGGGGGAAACGGGAGGTGCCACGGGCGAGGCTCCAGAGGCGGGAAGTCTAGAGAGTTCCGACATGGTTTGGAACGGGGGTCACACCGGCGAAGCTGAGCAGCGCTCGTTCTCGTTCCGGGGGGCAGGCCCCAGCAGGAAGCCGACCCCCCTGGACGTCCCTTGCTTCGATCACGAGGAGCAGGACAGAGCGTCCCTTCCAGGGGACCCCGGACCAAGTCCCCACTCGTTAACCCCTTCCTCTGACCGCCCCTTAACCCCTTCCTCAACCCGGTCCTTAACCCCTTCCACAACCCGGCCCCTAACCCCTTCCACAACCCGGCCTCCAACCCCTTCCACCTCCCGGTCTCCAAATACCCCTCCAGTGTCAACAGTCAGTCACCGGGTGTCGCCCGGGAAAGCGAAAAGCCGGCAGCCAGCGGCGAAGATGGAGGCGGAAGCTCCGCCTCTTTCGCCGAACGCCCCGACGTCCCCCTTCCCGGCGCCCCCTCCACCAGATAGCCTGCCGAGCCTGCTCCTCGTGGTGCGCGGACGTGACTTTTTTGCTACTCGTTTTTGACGCAGTGCTGATTCACCCCGGGGTTTACTCGGTTTGACTTGACGACGGGTTTATCGCTTTTTGTAAGCTTGCTGCTTGTGTGCCAGCACTGAAGAGTGCGCACTATCTTGCTCACGGTTTCCCGAAGAAAGGTGTTGGCTTTCAGGAATGTGTTGTTTTTGTGCGAACCAAACCATCAAGCTTCGAGCATTTGATAAGTAACTTGAGTCATGCAGATTTTTCGTTCGAGCTGCAAAGGTCCCTTCGGTCAGCCATCCGGCCGTTAGCAATTCAGAGAGGTTGAGATGGAAGATTTCCAGGTCCAGACCTCGACTTTAGATGTTGCAAACCCAGAAAGTTTGGAAAAGTGGAGCCTCGCTTATTTTGAAGATAACGCTTACGAGGTTGAAAAGGTCTGATGCGAAAATTTTGCATCCCAAAAGAGCCGAAGGATATTTTCAAGAATCTGCTTGTGGCTGCCCGCACTCGAAGATTCGAGCCTTTGCCGATTTCGAAGACAAAGCTCCGGAGTTTGACAAGGTTTGACACAAAAGTTTGTATCTGGAAAGTGCCAGAGGATGTTTTCGGAAGAACTGATTGTGGCTTCTTACACTCACAAAATGGGAAAGATTGAGCCTTTTTTATTCTGAAAACAAAGCTTCGGTTTTCTAAACAAGGTCGGACATGAAAATTTTGCATCTCGCAAGTGCCAGAGGATGTTTTCAAGAAACTGACCTTGGCTGCCCGCACTTTCCCCGCAGGAGGATAACAACATCAACGTGGTCGTGGCCCAGTCGATGCTCAAGCGGCTCGGCCTACGCGCAGACATCGCCAGCAACGGCGTCGAGGCCGTGCGCGCGCTCGCGCACAAGACGTACCACATGGTCATGATGGACATCTGTATGCCACGGATGGACGGGCTCCAGGCCACGTCAGCAGTGCGGCGGTTTGAGGAGACGGGCGTGTGGCGGTTCGATGTGCTGGACAGCGAGCTGAAGGAACTAGAGGTGAGGGCTTGAGAATGCATGCGTCTTGAGCGGCGAGTCTTGATTGATCGTTTCGGTGGGATTGGATACCGCTACTCGAATTTGCAATTTGGAAGACGGTTAGAAGCGGCTCTTTGTGCTTCGGGAGTTCGTGTTGATTATCTGAGGTTGTAAATCTGCTCTTCCTTGCTTTCAAAGTTACTCTGCTGTCCTCATCACCAGGAGTTGCGGGCAGATTCTGTTTCTGATATTTGTGCCTCTAAAAGTGCGGACAGGAGCGCAGTGGTCTAAGTCTGGATCCGACCCCATTGCCGCTTTGTTGTTTTGTTGAGTTCGCTTTTGTATTTCAAGGACCCTGAAAACTCGAAATTTTTTCTTTGCAGACCTGCCCCTCTCGGCCGGACTCTGGTTGCCAGCAAGGCATCCACGTGCCCATCGTTGCGATGACGGCAAACGCAATGGAGATGGACGTCAACCGGTGCTACAGCCACGGGCTGGACGCCTTCATTGCCAAGCCGGTCTCTTTCGCGAAGCTCAGGAGCGTCTTGACCCATTTTTTGCCTTGGTATAAGCTTGAATTGAAAGGAGCAAAAGCGTAGGCTTGCTCTCTTGTAAAGTTGTTATGAACTTAAATAGGTATACGTAGTGGGCTAAAATTACAGTTAGTGCCGCTCGCTTGTAGAATAAGCTCGCTGTTTTCAGTGAAAGGTAGTGCTGGATGAACCGTGCAAGTCATGGAATGGTTGACCTGAACTTGGCCATGTCGTCCCCAGGTTATGACCAATACTTCCCCGATTTTGAACCTAGCGCTCTGATACCTACCCCAATGAATACTACAGCTTTGGACAAAACGGTTCTTGTCTTAGCTTGTGTAGTGTTTTGCTTGGTCGAAAAGTGAGTAGTGACCGGTTCAGCGAAATAGCGCTTGCTTCGCGACAATCAGTCTCGGGTAGTCCCCTCTTCAGTGCATGCGAAAGCTGGCTACAGCTATATTTGAAGGGTCCAACCTGGTGATGAACGGCGTGAAACTCACATTCCTTCTAGTGTGACGGCTGTAATGGTTCATCTGTTCGATGGCCTGCATGCTGCATGCTGAGATGGTCATGAGGGCCGTTGGTCCTGGGCATGTATAAGTTCAGTGCATATTGCGGTGGAGTGTTTTGACCTTTCACGCACTAGGCAGCTTTCTAACACTAAAAGTCGGTGGCCTTCAAGTGATACGTCACGTACGGTATCCGATCATTGCAAGCCGCCGATGTCAAACATGAACGCGCTCATGACTACTACTCAGGAGCTATAGCTAGTAGGCTTGCGCGTGCTCCGTCATGTAAGTGACTTCGCTTATTGTTGCAGAAAGCTAGCTCGCCGACGGTCATGTCATGAGGGCTGATCTATGCATGAATCTGTGTGGCCTGGTACTGACTCGATCAGCCTGCATGCATCACTATGAAATTAATATCAGCCGCACAGCCGGCGCTGTGCGCGAGACAATGCGTCGACAAACCGTTAATTTGTTCAGGCTTAAGGTCGCGAAGCATTTACCATGTCCGATCGGCCTGAACGGACTGGTTGGAACAGCGGTATACGTACGGTATTTAAATTAAGAATTCTGGCATCCGTATACAACTGTCATGTATGGTTTTAAGTACCATGTTGGATTTCCTGTTGCATGTGTGGATCGAGAAGTCGTGCATGCGCAATTGAAAATGTTCGATTATATCGAAGTCGTTGTATGTCTTCCAATACGACCAACTTGGCAATCATTTTCACTCGAGATCAATCCTACTGAGTGACTATTGATGCATCACACGGCTGCCAATACAGTATGTATCCATCATGAAACATATGGGGATCTCTGGATCTCGGAGTATAGACGGTGGCAACTTGAAGACACAGCTTAGCGGGTTTGAAGCACCTGACATTTCGCAGAGTCCACCGATCATGATGACCACTTACTTTATTGCCGGCTTGGATGGGGGGCCCGTTTTTATAAATTTAAAAAATGGCTCGAGGGTACTCAGACCTTCTTCTTATTGCCAGGTGTCGCTTTCACACCCTGTGAATAGCGTGACTGCTGCTTGCGCCTCACTTCTTGCAGCATGCCCTGGACGGTCTTCTGCCCTCCCTGTTGCTGCCTCATTTTTACCAGCGACAAAATCTTGTCGAAACCTAAGTGGTGGCCGTATTTGCGAGCGACCCTGCCCAACAGAAACGTGTTCATCAGATCAAATGCTGCCTAAATGTTCCAAAGCATGTCACTGCCTTTTAACTGTTCCGCTTTTCAAGATTCTTCTCCCGGAATGCAAGTATTGGGCGGTTCACGTGTCCTCTCTGCAAGCAGTGACCTTCTCAGAAATAAAAGCATCCGTCCAGAGGACGGCTGACATCATCGCAGCCTGAACGTTGAATATAGAATAAGAAGTTTTCGTTGAGAGCCTTGACGTTCTCCAGTGGGACCCAAAACGAAACGAGCCGGGTTTCGAAAGTTGCAAAGAGACCCACAGGATCCTAGAAATTCTCTGTCCCGCAACATGAGATGCTGGTCGGAAAACAAAACTGGCCTTCTCAGAGGCCTATCAAGCACTACCAATGCGACTCTGAAAACAGCGAGCCCAGTCCCTTTTTAAAACCGATCCAGGTTCAGCCGGCGTGCATAGCCCTCAATTTTAAGGGCAACTGTGGAAAGGGGAAACTCTTCTGGTTCTTCTGCAAGCAAGACGCCCTGTCCGGGATTTGGAGCCGTTGTCTACAACAGCTCGAAGCTCGAATTGTGTGATACACCTACCAACCTTTGGAATATCTTTGCCGACGAGTATAACGGGCCCTCAGAACTGACTAGATTCCACTGACCAACCGACAAGAGTAGATTCTTCGTAGTTTGCAGGCTCACCACATCAGAAGGATCGCTGACGTCAGCACGACCGTGAACCCGACCCCCCCCTCGACGCTCCCCCCCGGCTTTCTTCCGCACTTTTTTTGCGGCATCCCAGAACCCGCTCTCGCGCTTCTTCTTCCCCCGTCGCTCCTCTTCCCGCCCCCCGGGGGGCGGTAGTCTCGTCCCGTCGAAGCACGGGGGATCCCTCCCACCGGTGACGTCGTCCGTGACGTCATCGGCGGTGCGGAAGCCCGCCAGCTGGCAGAAGTGCGCGCCGGAGGAGGCCCACTCGGCGGCGGTGGTGCACACCAGGTCGCGGCGGCCGCAGGGAACTAGGTCCTGCGAGAAATAAATCCACTTATATTTTGACCCCTCTTATAATGTGTATAAAAAAAAATCAGACACCAGAATCTTGTATCTGGGTAAGCGGACCATGAGAAAGCAATCACGGGGCAACAGTACTCATTAAGGGAATCATAAGAGTCGAGAAACTAAATCCAGATGAATCCAATAAGGTCGAAAGTGGGACGACACTCTCGCAGGATGATCCTGCCCTTCTCTCACCTGAGTCATCGCATCCAATGCAAAATACGCTCCCCCGCATGCGTCCAATAGCCTATCGCACAGGCTCCGGCAGATTACGGGGGGGCCCTCCGAGACCCCAACGTCGGGATCGCAAAGCGCACACTCCACAACTTCCCAAAGCGCCAAGCAATCGGCTCCCGCCTCGCCGGACGTTGCCAGCTTTCGGAGCCATAAAAGGGCTGCATCGAGGGGTTAAGACTGAGGGTCAGCAAAACGGTTAACGGGTTTCTTAGCGATCCAGTCGTGCTTTCTATGGAAGAATATACTGCCAAAGAAGGTCAAAGGAATCTCAATGAGGATGGCTGCTCTTCACAAATTGCCAAACTGTGTAAGCAGTGGGCCACGGCCAGGGCGAACCATTTGGGTGGTGCAGTGTGTGGTTAATAGGGTGGTTCGATGGGGTGTATATAAATGGGGTGGTTTGTTGGGGTAGTTCGATAACAAAGCTGAAAGTCTGGACGTACATGCTATTTTCTGCAAATGTTTGCTACCTGCCCTGCACACAATCAATCATCAACATATTATGAGAAAAAGGAGTGTTCATGATCAGGTCGGGGCAGATCGAAAGATACAGTAAACCACCACAAAGAATCCGAGCATCATAAGAAGTCAGTGAAAGAGAACAAGTAGACTCATACTTACCTGTATCCGTCTGTTCCTTGCCGCAGCACGTCTTCCACTTATAAGCCTTGCACAGGCTCAGGCTTTCCGCCCCTCGCACCCTCCTCGGTTCCTTCCCCTGAATTGCATACGGCGGGAAGCGCCCCCCTTGCGACCGGCACATTCTAGTTTCATTTGCATCGCTCCTCACATTCTCCTTCAGCGGTGGCTGATCGGCGGCGGCAGCGGCCGCGATAAGACCTACTGGGAATATACAAGATAATGCCACTGTAAGAATGATGCGAGACTTTAGAATAGAAACATTTCGGATCAAGGAGCGACAGCGCCTCATCGCAACAGACGGCGTGGCAATCACTTTTGGCCTATCTTGCACAACCACACCCCATTCTCCGCCCATAGCATAGCTTGATGGCCAGCTGCTTTATAAGTTTAATTATCAACACGCATGCTAGATTAAAAGCGGCCTCCTCCTACGGATTTAAATTGCTGCACCATGCAATTCTGCATAGTCGGTCGACAAGGGCGCGACGCGGATTGACCGGCGCGGCCGCCCGGCCGCGCGGCTCGGTATGTGAAACACGTGAACGTACGTACGGGCAGTGTCAGGGCCGGTAGAGGCATGGGGTCCATGGACCATATGCAGAGTCGCAATACCTTCAGATCGAATGCACCGCGTCGCGTCGCGTGGTGCAGGAGCTGTCTGCAAGTTGACGGAAGACTATATGAATAAAGCACAGGAGAATGAGTCCACTACAACCTACAGAAGCTTTTGTATGCATGGAATGATCATCGCAATACATGCCGGCCACACAAGTGCAAATCACTTTCGCTTGCAAACATGTTGCGGGGTACAATCGGATCCTATTTGAAAACGCACTAAGGTGCGCACTGAGGATCCAAACAACTGCCACATTCTCCTCGTCAAATGATAGAGGGTGTTCCAGAACTGAGATCGAAACTTCAGACGAGTTTCCCAGCCATCACTTTAACGAGTGACACAATTGGCAGCTGGGATAGAAGGGCTGCGGCCATGTGGGACATATTTGTACACCTTTTCACGACGTTTTCACAGCTATGCTGATCACGTTGTTTCATGCTTGTCCCTTGCCCGCTACTTTTAGACGCTACTGCACATATGCAAACTTTCTCGTGCAGGTCACGAACATGAACTGACAAACAAAGGCGCCCAAATCACGCCAAACCGACCGTCTACTTAACTTCCTACTGGACACCCAGCCGCTCCTTGAAATCATCCACCATGAGGGGCAACCCGTCGCGAAGAGCAATCTTGGGCTCCCAGCCAAGCAGCGTCTTGGCCTTGGTGATGTCAGGCTTGCGCTTGTGGGGGTCGTCCGCCGTGTTTTCGCGGTACACCACCTGGGCCCGGGGGTCGATCACCTCCTTCACGACCTGCAAAGGACATCAGCAAAAAGCTGCTCAGGACGACAGCTAAGACGTCAGCAACCGGGTTTCGAACCACTGAAAACAACTTGCTAGAGCTGGACAGTGTTATTGCAGAGACCACCAGCGCCCGGAATTCAATGATCTCTTCGATTACTGATCATCCCGCCGTCACCTGCCCAAAAACACAAAAGCAAGGGACATCGGATAGTTAGAGCTTTACAGAAGTAACCAGAAGCTTTGGACCGCCTCTTAGCAATCAAGACAAAATGAGGTCAGCAAGGGCTAGGATAACAAGAGCAGATTGTGAACCAAAATAAGCTTGGGTAGAAAGCTTTCCATCCACGCAAAAAGCAGTTGGAGGTCTCTGAGGACAGAGATGCTAACAGTTGCCGGATGGAACGCTGATATTGGCAAACGAGTTGAAGGAGGTGGAAAGATGGAAAACAGCGCTGCAGGAGACCAGACGACCAGCAGATTGACAGGAACAGACAAAGCTCCGGTCAACACTAGCTTCTCTCTTCACTCTTAGAAGGGCACGGAGATAGAGACGACGATGACTCTCCACCACAAAATGGATGGGCATGGAAATGCAGGGAACTTCTGCCAAAGATGACTCTACAGAGCAGAATCAGACAACTAGAAAATCAGAGAGTTAGAAGACTTAGAAGATAAATTAGGAAGGGGACTCTTTCGGTGAGTGGCGCTAAGCAAGGTCTGCTGAATCTCTTCCAGCTTCGAAAGAAGACAACCGCTGGCAAGCGGCCCATCATGCAACTCCTTCATGAACGAGCAGACAGGTACAGACTGTGAACATGCCAGAAAGCACAACAGAAGGAACTGGGGCGCATGTAAACGCCCGTGCTGAACACTGGCGCTCTTGTCTTACTTCAAATTCTCCAAAGTTGCGTTGGTAGTGTGGCAAACCCCAACTAAACAGCGAAGGGGTGAGATAAAACAAGACAAAGCACAAAAAGTAGCGACTGCCGAAGATACTGAGTTCGCCAGGATGCCCACCTCAGCGAGCTCGACTTTCGTAGACTCTCCTTGCGGTCGAAACATTCCTTGATTGCAGATTTTGTTTTTGAAAAGCAGACAGGAAACTGCGAATGTGACAGATATGAAGGAAAGCTGCCAAGGATAGCTGGAGAGATGAACTCGGTGTGAATGCCCACCTCGGCGAGCTCGAGCATGGTGAACTCCCCGGGGTTGCCCAGGTTGAAGGGGCCGATGTGCTCGCCGTCCATCAAGGCGACCAGGCCGTCCACCTGCATGACGTCAGCGAAGAAGCGCACATGACGTCAGCAACCGGGACCCTAAATTAACGGCGCTGCGAGAGCCCTGCCTTCTTCGAGCTTTTAAGTCCTAAGTTGGTGGACGCTCAATGACCGACAGCAAGTTTGATAGAGAAGACCAGGGGCGCTTACGAACGCATCAAGCACTGCCTAATCGACGGGCATGATGACATCACCAGTCAAACACGTCCCTTGGGCCAGAAAGGAACGAATAAATTCATGTGCTTAGCGTCTCACCAGGTCCGAGACGTACTGGAAGCTGCGGGTCTGCTTGCCGTCCCCATAGACGGTCATGGGGTCCTTCCGAATCGCCTGACAGAAGAGAAAAAGGGTCAGTGTGCTAGAGTCGACTTGCTGCCGCTTCCATCAGGCTTCTATGTCCAATGGGCAAACGGAAGTACCGCTTCTCTTTTCTGGATCACACGAGCGGAAGAGGGAATGGATCCTTCATCCCCGGAACATCACTTAAAGCGCTATGCCCAAAACGGTACTGCAAGCAGCCAGCGAGCTTTTTTGCGATATGCTTTCTTGCTAAAAGCGGGAGTAAACTGAGCCAGGCGATTGCAAGGAGGTCTTTCTCTCTCAAAGCGGGACTCAAACCCAACTTCCGTTTAGCCATGCATTGAAAAGATGGGACATGAAGTTACCTGAGCCACGAAGTTGCTGACGACACGCCCGTCATCAATGAGCATGCGGGGCCCATAAGTGTTGAAGATACGCGCAATGCGCACCTACGAGGAAAAAGGGTTCAAGAAAATGTGTCGGGAGCCGAAATGTCATCGGACCACTAAGTCGCTTCTGGTTAGTTTTGAGCTCGAGGGATTCAGCTGATTGCAAAGAAGCTCGCCTGATTTGGAGATGCAAGGCGACTAGAATTTTTAGGTGGTGCAAAACAAATCTTCAGTGAAAGTGAGCCACTAACACTACATGCACTTCTGGCACAAGAATACTGATGCAACCGGCTCAGCAGGCAGAGCCACCAATCATCAAGCATCGCTGCAGCCAGAGAGCAGTCAAGATTGCAGTTAACAACCACGCGACAGAAACACTTGGTTCCGGAAGAGCCCCCCTTGAGTTGTAGGCCCATGGACCAATAACCCCTGCCTGCAGACATGAAACCACCAGCTGTTCGTAGAAGGATCATAACCAGCTGTCCAACTGCCCTGAAATCCCAACCTCGAATTCAATCAGCCCAAACCCCTCACATCGACTCCCGCCCCCCTGTGGTAGTCCATGGTGAGCGTCTCCGCCGTGCGCTTCCCCTCGTCGTAGCAACTCCTGACGCCGATCGGGTTCACGTTGCCCCAGTACGCCTCCGTCTGGGGGTGCTCCAAGGGATCCCCGTACACCTCGCTCGTGCTGGTTAGCAGGAACTTGGCGCCAACCCGCTTTGCTAAACCGAGCATGTTGAGCGTCCCCATCACATTGGTCTTTATGGTTTTGACAGGGTTGAACTTGTAGAAGACGGGGGAGGCGGGACACGCCAGGTGGTAGATCTCGTCGACCTCGAGAAGGATGGGCTCGACGACGTCATGGCGGATGAGCTCGAACTTGGGGTTGCCCAGATGGTGGAGCACGTTCTCCTTGCGGCCTGCATTAAACCGGCTTCGTAAGGGTTATTCTGCCTTTTTGGCTAATGGTTACTCTTGCAGTTCTAGGTTAGTAAGGGGTAGCAGCTTGGACGTTTGACTTTCTTCGCAACCGGGTTTCGATCCAGCCGTCCTGTTAATCATCTGCTGAGAGCAGAGTGGTAAGATGGATGCAGAAACCAAAAGAAAAACTTTGCCTTCGCTGTGTGGTTGCCTAAATGGTGGACGATGTTTCTTGTGCAGCCTGCAAGACAATCGACTCTAAGATCCTGGAGATGACAGAGGATAGATTAATCAAATTGCCTTTTTCGGCTCAACCTTGGGAAGTCGCATGGTGAAGCACCTTCTTCCTTGCAGCAAGAATTTGTGGGGACATAAGATGTAAGCTGAAGTGCACGGTGACCTTAGACAAGAGCCCTGTTCAAGATGTCTGGGGATAGAAGTTGCATTTCACACCAGAGTGGTGGGTGAAAAAGACGACCATGATGGAGGAAGAAATCACCCAAAGGTAATCCGCCCACAGATACTCGCTCGAATCAGAAGTGTAAAGACCCAACCAACGAGCATCATCCATAACCTGAAAGTCACTGACATGTTGTCGACGGTTGTCAGACTGCTTGATGATTGTCGAAGCAGTCTGCTTGAATGACACTTGGGGAGAGCCCCTTCAACAAGGTCTTGGATGATGGCGCGCCATTCATGGACCGGACAGGAGATAATGCCTTGCTCAGTTTTGACAACGGGTTAACCAAAATACCTACTGCTGCCTGGAACCTTTTGCATGCCAGATTAATTGTAACCTCCTGGATTTGAGTAAGCATGCAAGAGTGAAAGAACTGCACACTTTGCTGAAAATCCAACTGCATCCAAGATGCAGTCCACCACTTTCAGGCTTGAAAACTCAAAAGCCACATGCCCCGGGCTCAATCTTCCAACGGAGGAACAGAAAGGGAAGATTTGACCAATGCGGTTGCGATCCCTAGTCATCCACCACAAATGTCCGAAGCCCCAAAAGCGTATCCCAAGAAGCAAGGGCCATGGAGAACCAGAGGGGCGTACCAGTGAAGTAGTTGTCAATGACGATGACCGAGTCCCCACGCTTGATCAGCTTATCCACCAAATGGCTCCCCACAAAGCCAGCCCCCCCAGTCACCAGAACGCGCCGCTCCTTCCTCAGGGGGCTGACCGGCAGCCTGGACAAAGCCTTCGTCGCACCCCCCTGGGCTGGAAGCTTGCGAGGCAGCGAGTCCTCCTCGTCAGGAAGGTCTCCCCCTGCTAGTTCAAACTCTTCAGTGTCGTCGTCTGAGCGCGTGGCGGCAACGCCGGACTTCTTGCTGACATACTGGACACGGGCCTGCAGGCACAGAATTTTGACTCATTGACCCTCTCGTCTTAAGCACTATCTTGTTGAGCACTCCTGGTTGAGTGCACCATTGAAGGGCTCCTGGTCAGAGTACAAACCCCAGTGATTGATTTTGAAACTTTAGCAGAAAGGCCACATATCATTCTTTTGGTTCGGTGTAGATCAGGAGTCTCAGAGCCGGGCACCTGGACTCCAGGATGCAGCTCCCAGTACAACACTGATCATTGCAACTGAAATCTAAACAGATTTGGCCTGCTGGTTCAGAGCTGGTAGAATATGAACTGCTCTACGACTTTTCTCGCATTTAGCCGAGCAAGAAGCGGTCAGATTGCAGCAGGCTCCACAACGAAAGAAAATGCAGGTAACGAGCAACAAGAGAACTTCATTCTGCAGGTTACTGTGCCTGGTGGTTGATCCCAATAATGAAAATGGATGAAACTCTGACAACCTGACGAAAACACGGCTTTAACATTGATGGGTGACATACTACTGGACGGCCTTTTGAAAGATGTGCCTCTAATTGGTCGCAAATCATCAACTTGTAACCAGTTGGCGAGGAAGCACAGCAGTTCCAGTATTTGGTAGTGCTTTCCCACGAGGAGGGAAGAAGCAGGTTCCATTTGCATCACATGTTCTCGGATCTGTAAACTTCAATCAAGCAAACCACAACAGTTCGAATGCTTAGCAACCCCTACGGTAGAAGTGTGAGAGCTGTTGAACGGGCACGGTTTTGGGATTCAGGGTTTGGCATGAGAGACCAAGCGTGGTAGGTGCACATCACAAGCTTTTTGCGACTGATTTTGAACCTCTGACATCTGATGGTTGTGCAATATTCATAGCTTGCAATGCTCAAGGCACCTCAAAAGAACCATAGCCTTGTGAAGACAAAACCCCTTCCCGAAGCCGCATCAAAGCGGCTCAGCAAGCAAGGAAGTCAATGCTTTCAATCAGGGATTTTGACTCCAAAATGATCCAATCTGAGCTCTTGCATCACACTGACGGTTATGTAACTGTCAGAGCAAAGTACACAGTCCGACAAAGAAGCCTCGACAGATTCTCTCAAAACCAACACAACCAATCAGATTGCGATTGATCAACAATGAACTCTAAAAGGTTCCCCAAAGAACCAGTAGATCTGCAGTTCTCCAAAACAAAATGCTCCTAAGGAGACTTCACCTCTGTTTGCGCTCCCACACCTCTTCCGAACCCGTCTCCAGCACCCGACACAGGAACGGCAGCCCATGCCGCAACCCCGAGAAGGACCCCAAACAGGATCAATGCCCGACGATCCATGTTGACCTCCTGAAACGATCAGAAAGAACAACCTTACAAAAATAACAGGGAAAGTGCCCCAGATATTCTTGGATGACTGAGCCGCTGTCAGTGTAAGCTGGTAAGCGCTGGAGCCGGTGCCAGCGGTGGATTCAAAATGCTGAGCGCTGAAAGAAGAACGCTGGTGAGCCACTGGTTTGGGACCTGTATAATAAACCACCTTGACGCTTAACACCAATATGTTTCATAGTCACGAAAAGTAGTTGAGTATGTCTTCGTGTGCCGGCGCCGTTCCAAGGTTTAGGGTCAACATGATTTGCAGACAGTTAACCCTTCCTGGCACCGCAAGACAAGCGCAGAACCCTAATTCTAGGATGACGTCAAACTGGGCGCCATGCCCAGCATTGCCATGAGCATATCTCGCACAGCGTTTGGAGGACGAAAGGCGCAATGCATGCCATAACTGCCGCAGTGCACGTCTTTCACCTGCTTCATTCTTATCGCACTAGGCTGAGTTTTGAAGGAAAGTGAAGGTTGAAACCAGGACAGGCAAACGACCAGCACAGCGTTCTGCGGAGAGAATCAGGCTTCTCATAGTGAACTTGTAGGGATGGCTTCATCAAGGGTTTCTTCGTCCTTCCCAGTGACCAAGGAAGGGCAATTGTACGTCGTACGGGAGGCAGGGACTCTCAGTCTGCGGCGCTTTAAATGCAAAGGCCGCTACTTTGTCCTTAGAGGCAAGTTTGCCTACATCTACAAGAAGGCACCCAAGGCGGAATCTGATGCAAAGGCAAGTGAAGCACCAGACTGTTTATGCAGACTTGCATGTGTCACAAGTAACTTGGCTCACTCTGACTAGAGGGGTTTGAGGCCGTCAGCCAGTTGACTTGGTCTGATTGACTCCCTGTGACTCACTGGACTTCATATTAATGGTGGGCCTTCAGTTGACTTTCTATGCTCCCTAGAAAAGAGCGCACCAATTGGAAGCTGTTGGCCCTTCCAAATGCTGCGTCTTCTTCATGCACATCTTCTTTGTTGTTCCAAATGAGTCTGAAGCCCTTTGATTATGCTTGTTAGACAAGCTGCCAATTTGAATTGGGGAATTGTGAGCAGACCACAGTGTCATGGACCTTGCTACTCGGATGTTGATTGAGTCAGTAGTTCAAATTTTGTTTGAGATTGCAGTGGATAGGTGGTCCAATTCTGGATCCAGAATTTGAGCACTGCTCCACTTGAGGCCTTCACTGAAGGTTCTTCCATTGTGTATCTCGTCAAAATCAACCTGGCGTCAGATTGATGGAAGCCCTCCTAAGTTAGGGCGGAAAGCAAAGGAGCACATACTCACCAATCTGGATGTCAGAGGATAATTATCATGATCAGACGTAAGTTTATTGAACCTAGAATCGAAAAACCCTTCAGGAGAACGTACGGCGAGGTTACATGGGGCCTCACGTCCGCCTGGCCGAGGCCGGGCGCATAATGGCGGGGGGGAACCCCCTGTATATATTCAAGATCTACTCGGCAATTGACCACAAGAAGGAGCTGACAATTGGGGCGCTCACTCCTGAAGCCGTGCATGAATGGATGAGCGCGCTGCAGTCCGCTATTGACTCGGTGAGGGGGTTTCAATCCTGATGTTGATCGGCTCCAGCAGGGCGATAGCTGACTTTAGGAGCAGCAGATGGTTGGATCTGCAAGCCAGGAACATTACACTTAAGCGCCTAATGTGATTTTCATTGTGAGTCCCTATGTCAAATCAATATGGTGGGAGCAAGGGGATGGCTGCTTTTGTCAAACTTTCTGGTCACAAGAGTGGCTTTGGAGAACGGTCGAACTACAGGGTACTGAGTTACACAGATAATCTCTTGGTTGTTAACTGGTCAGCTGCTGAAGTCAGTGTGACCAAGAAGGCCATGCAAGATTCCCTGTGATCTTCTGTTGGGTAGGGACTACCCTGGCAACATCTTGGAAAAGTTGTTAGGCACGTATGTCAAGGACCACAAGAGTTGAAGAGCTTACTTTCAATGAAACTCATTGGACAACAGGTTGCAGTGCCGATTGAATTCAGGACCTGGGGGAGTGCTTACCCCTGTATTCAGGGGCTCTACTGCTCTCCCGCTGGTCTTAGCTGGGGATTGCGCTCGGCACATGGTCAAGCCTCGAAGCCCCAAGAGGAGATGCAAGTGCCCCTAAGGTCACCTGATTGCCCTGCGAGCAGCCAATTCTTGGCAAAGTACCGGCCTACAGAAGCCAGACTGTGCATCTCACATTGTGGCCACCGGAATCCAAAATGCATGGGCGCAGAAAACGTTAGAGCATTACTTAGAAACAAAATTCTCGATCCATTTCTTGTCCAGCTTACCAGATTTCTCATATTGATCCGCAGGTGGGCCCAGTGCGGCTGGTCCACTCCACTAGAGTGAGCACTGCGGCCCCTGTTGTGGAGGACAGCTTAACCCCCCGGAATATAGCTCGGTTTTCCGAACCGGGCCCCCGCGCAGGGAATGGAGTGAGCCCACGGAGGGTGGAGAGAGCTGAGGAGGGGCGCTCACAGGAGATGGAGTTGGTTGAGAGGTGCGCGTCTTTGAGGGTCAGGTTGCTAAATGGTCAGACGTTAGGTTGTGAATGGAAATTACTATATCAGAGAGTATGCTATTAATCGACTCTTTATAATTGCAAATATCTTTGAGATGCGTGAAGAGTTGGTGATTGGGGCAGGGAATTGCCCCTCGTACTCATCAGTATAAACATGCTTGTCGAAACCGCTGGCCTACATCTTACTTTTCCGATCGGCTTGGTTGGTGACAAAAAGGCCGCTTCAACTCAGATTCTGACCGACACGTAGCCGGCTTGCTCCCTTATTATGCGTGCTTGCACTTTGCAGCGAGTCTCCGGTCGGAAAAGCGCCTGCAATGCTGAGAAAGCACACGCGCAGGAAGGACAGCTACGGAAGAGGTGGGTGTCTGATGCTGAAAAGGACTTTACTCAATGCACGGTACGTTTGTCATAGCGAAGGTGTGCACACACCTGGCATGGTTTCTGTGCATGCGAAGGGCGTGGTTTGTTAGCAGCTGAGAAGTCCAGGGCTTACTACTGAGGCGGCAGCTTGGCCGGCTGACACGCCAACTCTCCCCTGGATGAACTTGAAAAAAATGAAGGCTGAACTCTTCTCAAATCACGAATTGTCAAAGCGACACAGCCTCGAGTTTGCTTCCTATTGACAACTCCAGCTGAAGCGCTCCATCTTAAGCTTTCCCGTGTTGCGAATCGCAGCTTTGCGGAATTCGTCAGTGTCAGCAGGCGGCTCGTTTGAATGTTTTTGACCGCTTACATCTTGACCGCATGTTCATCACTAGCGGATGTTTCCAAAGAGGAACCGATCCCGTCGAGACACGATAATCTGATGAACATCGAGAAACTGCTTTCTGGAGCCGGCATCTTTGATCTGGTCGAAAAGTTTGCAAAATGGTTTGAGAGTGTCTCGTCTATTTCGGAATTTGGATCTGACTGGCCCGGTTTATTCACAGGCATTCCTGAGTACTTCAAAGACTGGACGGAGTCGGAGATTGCGCATGCGGGCCACGGAGAAATCCTTGACGCCATGGAGCGGGAGTCGGAGGCAGCGTCCGGAATGTCCTGGCGGCTCATCCGGTGTAGCAACGGTGAGGGGCATTCACACGGGTGCATTCTTTCCTCATTGGTCTGGGCGCTTGTGAATTGACCTGAGGGCTTTTCACATGTGGTCTTGAGGTACTCCTTCGAGCGAGAACTCAACGAGCGCAATCATAAGACTTTTCTATCAGCACAAATCCGTTCCGTTGCTTTGCTACCCCAGCGTCTGATTTCCGCTTCCCAATTTTGCAAGCTTTCTTATGAGTTCGACCATGTCTGCATCTGGTACAACTGGTGATTAGACTACTTCGATTGGTTTCCTCCTGTTGCTTATATTCCGTTCCTCTGCTCCCCTTCAGGCCTCCGGTTCTTCGAACAGATACACGACTCCGAGGACGAGGTGGGTACAATCACGCCTCCTTACGTTGTGCCAACTGGTTTCACGCATTTATCGAGAACTCAGCTCGAGCAACCCCGTTCTATTTCCGCCGGTTCATTTTGAACGTTTGTGTCTTTTTTCCCACTTTTCCTGAACCCAGGGTTCGGGTTAGAAAAACCTATGATGTGGCCGTTCGGAGAGGCTCTGCAGAGGTGCGAAGCACGGCTTTGAAGGTGACCATCCAGATGATTTTGCCAAACTAGCGAGAGACAACGTATACGGACCTTGGGAGGAGTCCTCCCTTCTTTCGTCACCCAAGTTCTGCCATCTGACAGAGCCTGACCGACTTCGAGGCTTGCTGACAAGCCTTCCGTTTCCAACCTGGAACCTTTTGTCCTGATGTCTTTTCCACAATCGTCCAACTCCCGGTGCTCTTCCTTGCAGAACAACACCCGGACGGTCAAGTCCATCGGCATCGTGGATGCTCCTGCGGACAAAGTGTTTGCTCTCGTAATGAGCATGGGGAAGCTGCGGCTCGAGTGAGTCTTCTAAATCAGACGGCGAAAAGTTATCGTTGAGAAGGCAACGGACCGTTTGATTTGCTTGGTGACTCGTCCCCCGAGAGCAATCAATCTACTCACGGGCGTGGTGTTGAATGACGAGCACTCACTCTGTCGAAGTTGCTCCTTCTTGTTTGAAACGGAAGCTTTTCGGCTGCTACTGCAGACGAGCTCAGTATGCGAATCTCATATGTTTTTTTCGTGAGAGGCACATGCTTCGTCATTTAGTCTCTGCATAAGTTGTTGAGGTCCCACAACAGTTGCTGCTCAAGATCCAGAGTCGTTGCATGGATTGTCGCCACCTGCACAGCACGTAGCACTAACGCGAGCTAATCCTTACGAGCAGTCGAGTCTCATCGCCGTCAAGATCGTCAAGGCCCATAAATTCCAGAGGTTTCATCGGTCGTAGAGAACCCTGAAAACTGGAAGCAGTCATCGCCGGTCGAGACCTCGAATTCCTGAAACCTCTGAGCTCTTATCGCCCTCCAAAAACGTCTAATACCTCAAACCTCAACGGCGCCTGGTACTTCAGGTGGGACGCGGTGGTCAAGGAAGGCAAGGTCGTGGAGGAGATTGACGGCCACACTGACGTCATCTACAAGAAGCTGCGGAAGGACTGGCACCGGGGCCTGGCACGCAGCAGGGATCTGCTCATTTCGCGCTACTGGCGGCGGACGGAGGACGGCAGATACGGTGAGCCGACATATATTGCAGTGGATCCATACTCTGTTCGGCAAAAGTTTCACTCCGATGAGAAGCCTGGGGCGTTCTACTCGGATCTTGAAAAGCAGAGGCCAAGCTAGAGGGTCCTCCTATCTGTGCGTGACAGCTTGTTGTCAAGACCCGACGTCCTGGCATCGGACACTCTTAAGCACAGGACGAGAGCGATCCAATCATGAGTACTCTTGCGATCCTTTGCAAGCTAAAGCTGGAGACCGTACCGGCCGTTTGCAGGGGTAATTTTAGTAGAAGAGTCTTTCTTCAACGCGTTCCCAATTCTCTCAGCTATTGGGGAATTATGCCCTTTCTCACAGCTATGGTTACGGGTAATTGATTCCAACTTGTTTGCTATGCTGACGGATCCGCATTCAGACCGGGCACCCGTGCCCCCGTGCGATCAAACATACTGACGAAAAGCTCGTGACTTCGGTGCAGAGATTCTGTACTTCCCAGCTCGACACCGGGACTTCCCTAAGAAGTTTGGAGTTGTACGAGTCAAGGTTGTCAGTAAGTGTCTGGCACAGCGCTTCTCTTTTGTCATGGGCCATGCTTGTTATACTGGTGGGACACATTGTTTCAGTCCCTTGGATAGAGTGACGGTTTGTTGAGCTTGAACAGCCATCCATCACCTTTGGAGGAATCAATTGGCTGACATCAAGCTTACGAAAATGACCCAAAGGATGGATCCACGACGTCCGACCAACTATCCCGCTGCCATGCTACCAGCCCTGAACCTCGTTGTCCTCTCGTGCTCAATCAGATGAACGTCTTGCTAGCCTATCATTCAATTCTTCAAGCGTTGATCTCCCCGATGCAGCGCATTCTCATGTAACGACGAGGCACTTTTTGGTGCCAGTTTCTCCATGTCATCATTATGGTCTTTCACCATCCCTCTTTGGCTGAGATCGAAGTGTACCCATTGCTGACGTCATCACTCTCTCCACAGGCGGCGGCTTCGTGATCTCCCCCATGGCACCCGCCCGCGGCACCTCCTCCCCGTGCTGCATCATGAAGCACTCCACCTATGTTTAGGAATCCGCTGACATATGTATCTTCATTGCTGACGTCTTTACTCTCGACAGGTGGCGGCTTCGTGATCTCCCCCATCGCGCCCGCCCCCGGCACCTCCTGGCGGCGCTGCATCGTGGAGCACGTCACTGCACCAACCGCAAACGTCATAGAAAACCTGCTGACGTCCGTAAGACTAGTCAATGCTGACGTCATCACTGTCACCACAGGCGGCGGCTTCGTCATCTCCCCCATCGCGCCCGCCCCCGGCACCTCCTCCCCGCGCTGCATCGTGGAGCACGTCCTGGAGATGAAGCCGCACGGTGTCTCCTGCTGCTGCGGCCAGGCGGGGCCCACCTACCGGGAACGCCTCCACTTCATGATGCTCAACCGAGTGGCCGGTAAGCTGTCTTTCTGCTCGCCCGTGTATTTTTCTTCTTCGCCGCTCTGTTGTTAGCTTGTGCGTTCTCTTTTCCTCGTGCTTAATATGCGCAGCAACACCTGGATGAGAATTTTCTGGAGCGCCTCCATTTCATGATGCTCAACCGAGTGGCCGGTGAGCCGTCTTTTTGCTGGCCCGTGTATATTTCTTCTTCGCTTGGTTGTTCATTTTTTGTTCTCTTTTCCTCGTGCTGGAAATGCGCAGCGACAAGTAAGTGATGTTGTGTATGGAAGCGCCCCCACTTGAGGATGCTCAACCGAGGGGCAGGTGATCCGTCGTTTTGCGGGCCCTTTCCCCCTTCTCTTCGTCACAGCAGGTGCTCCGGAGCTCGCTCTGAACTCTTTCCGGGTCTTCCCCCTCCGTATCTCTTGACTCCCTTACCCTGTCCGACTCCTCTGACGCTCCATCTGTAAACCCTATCCCTCTGGCACCTCTCCACTGCCTGCAACATTCTCTCTCGAACTCTCTGCAACATGCTGTGGTGCTCAATTTATCTCGGTCCCTTTGGCAGGCATCCGTGAGCTGTTCGCTATCAAGCTGGCCAAGCCCCCTGCCCCCGTCTCTGCGTCTCGGACCCGCTCGATCGAGCACACGCACACCAAGGACGACTCCCGAGAGCTCTTTGTGAAGATGCCCTCCAACGCGTTCGAGTTTGGTAAGCGCGCATCCAAGATCTTTTTGAGTGGGTTCAGACCACACCAACAAGTGACGGGTTTTCCTCGCCAGGTCTGAGACAAAGGTTTGCAACGACACGGACTTGTGGCGAACTGACGAAAAGGCCACTGCTCAGGTCCATTTAGCGCAAGTTCTGCGTTTCACGAGCATTGCTGGAGTCTGTTTCTTGACAAAAGGACAGCAGGCTGCTGTCGATTTATGGGTAATGTCATCTACTTTTGGGTGGCTCTCTTTCACTCCCACGAATTGCAGCTTCCCGGTTGCACCCCCGCTTCGTCGTTTTCTCTTGACGTCCGTGGACGATAAGGTTCTGACCTTGTTAATTTTGATTGCTCCCCGATCAGGGCTGCAGATGAGCTTGAGGACTCGGAGACTCTAGTCCCACGGATGCAGCTCTCCCCTTTGCGGATCTCGAACCCTAGGTTTTCACGATAAAAAAAACTGACAAATAGAATACCCGGGAGCTCGACTGCAGGCGAGTTTAGAGAACCGGAGACGGCGACCCCGACGGGGCGCAGCTTCCCGTTCGCAGGCTTGGAACTCTAGCCTCAACAAACGACGCAAGGCTAAGTACCCGGAATCCAATCCTCTCTTCGCTTGGCTTGCAGGCGAGTCGGAAGATTCAGAGACGGCAAGCCCGACGGGGCGCAGCTTCCCGTTTGCGGACCTGCTGGAGGACGACACCGATGACGAGGACGACTTTTTCGACGCCACCAACGAGCTCACCGAGGCGCAGACCGCGCTCAAGCGGCAGCTCACGCAGCGGGTGGGTCTCTGCCTTCGGGATTCCTGATTATTGAAATAATTGACAAATTAAAGTTCCCGGGCCCTTCTTGTGGTGGGCGTTTTAGCGGTTGTCTTTCCTTTTCTCAAGCAACGAGCTTACCCGAGGCGCAGAGTGCTCTTAAGCGGCAGGTCACGCAGCGGGTAGGAATGCGTTTGGCGATCCTGACTATTTAAAGGACAAGATGCAAAAAAGGAAAGCTTCGACATTACCTGCTTGTGGTGGGCGTTTCCGGCGGTTGTGTGTTTCACTTTCAACCAACGAACTCACCGAGGCGCAGACCGCGCTCAAAGCGACAGCTCACTTGCGGGTGGGGATGCATTTGGGAACCCTGACTATGCATTTGGAATACGTGCTTTTGTGTGTATCGTTTTCGGTCGTATGACAGGGAGGGGGTTTGGAGATCCAAGGAGGTCCTTCAAGTTATTGTTGCTTTGCAGAGAAGACGAAGAGATAGGGGACATCGTTTTGCTCGCCGCTTGGCTTGCTACGTGCTTTTACTGAATCCGAGCGCTCGTGCACTTAGAGTTGCTCCCTCTGAGCGCTCTGAAAAAAACTCATAGGTGTTTGCTTCATGCAGAGGTTAAGTGGAAAAGCTCTTTCCACGCCAGAAGACGCGACCGAGCTTCGGCGGAACGCCCCCTACAGCTTCGTCTCTGGTAAGCGCCCCGGCATGGCAGGTGTTCGAATGCGAGCTATCGGGCTTTGCGTTTTCATCTCTTGGATTGTAAGGCTGTAGGGACGCTCACCGTTTCAAAAATGTTCCCACTCTTGCTTTTGCATATTATTCTCGTAGCTTCTGAGGATCGGTCATCGACAGCTCTTGCTCGCACCCAGCAGAGGCACGACCCATGACCAGGTTGTGAAGTACGCAAGTCTCTCTGATCGGAACTTCGTTTGGAGCTCCATCAGTACTCGTTTACAGTATCCGCAAGTGCACTGTCCACATATTAAAACAGATGACAGACTTCTTTCGGGCTTTTGAGCTTCCGTTGGCTGTCTGAGTGCGAGCACGCGGACTTACGTAATTCTCCTTTGCAGATGCCGCAAGGTGTTTTAGCCTGGCTTTAGCAGGTGGCGCCACACCATCGCTTATGCAGACCCGCCCCTAGCCTGGCTAATAGCAGATGCCGCGCACCGTTTCTTATGCAGACCCTCGGCACGTCGTCCCCATTCCGGTTGACTTTGGCTCCTTTGTCGGCACGCTGGGGCGGGGCCCTGAGGAGAACGGCAAAGACAGCTGGAGCGAGCCAGCTGGACAGCTGTTCAAAGTGCGAGGAGCGAACTACCTGAAGGACCGGCAAAAGGTCAGCTGCTGGAAGCGCTTGTATGTTTACGTTTCTCCAAAAGCAACGAGGGTTTTCAGCAAGTTTTCTAGGTTGGCCTAGGATGTTGCAGAAAGGCTTTTGCAAGCGATAGAATGTTGTACCAGAAGGAAAATGCTGCCAGTGCAGTGCAGACGACAGCGTCGCTCTTTCTTGCGGATCGGTATTTTTGGGTGTTGCTAATCTTTCTATGTTTAATTGGAACCGGATGATGAAAGATATGTGTACATGAACCTTCACGTAAGTTCAATCACTTGGAGAGTCGTGAAAGGCGTTTCATCTCGATCTAGCAATGCTCTAGCCGAGGACGGTTACGCTGACCCAACCTGAAACCGGTAGGTGATGGCGGGCGAGCCGATCTGCCGGTTAGTGGCGACCGACTGGTACAAGTCGAACAAGAAGATGGACGCCCTCGCCAGCCGACCGGGGAACAAAATCATGCAGGTGGGGCAAAACTCAAAGAGCCCTCTTTTCTGTATTCTTTCGGAAAATAAAGAGAATTTTGGCACAAAGGTATGTCTGTGGGCTGACAAGTCCTTCTCTGCGTTGTTTGCCCCTCCACGCGGTTGTGCATAACCGACGCAATCAGCCCATGTGAGAGTTGAGGCATGTGCGCTCAAAAATAAAATGCCTTTCTTCAGGAGACTTGCAAAGCGCTTCTTAAGTGCCTACTTTTCCAGGTACTCATGTCGCCCGTATTGTGATGGGTGCTTTGAAGTGACAGTATGGAGATCAGTGTTCTGGCCCCTTCTTCTCGCTCGAAGCTGGGATTTTGTCGAGACTCGACAACTCATCACTGTGTGCAATTATTGAGTCGCAAGCACTCACAGTCAGAGCCTGGGCTTGCAGAAGTAGCCACTGTCCTTAAACCCCAAAACTAACGACGGATCTTTAAAAAGTTCAATCTCTCTGTGCAGGCGTTCCACGAAGCTAACAACGCGGACGGCACCAGTCGGGGGCTCTTTATGTTCGTCATCAACATGCAGGTGACGTCAGCAACCCTCTCGCGAATTATCAAGCATGGGGCCGGCTGGGGTTGACTCTGCTGTCCACGTTGTTTTCACCAGGGCGTTGATCGATCTTGTTTTCGTTTCCACCTTACATGTGGTCACCGTTGATTGGGCGACAGCTGCCAGCGAAACTGGTTGGGATGCGTCAAACTGTATAACGTTGACCTTCTGTCTCCTGGTACGTGCAAGGAAAGGTTAAAACTAGCTCACGATAAAGATCCCTTAAGTGCAATTTTTATTGCCACACCACGAACCGCTGAGACCAGTGAAAACCTGCCGCAGCGCCTCCTTTTTCTGCTTTACACTCTTGGGGCACACGTACTTTCAAAAGGCGTGTCACCGAACTCACCAAGGTGCCTGGCCTTGTCTGCGCGTTCAAGGTAGTTCTATGCCATAACCCTATTTTTGCCAGTTTCTCTGGGCCGACCAACTTCAGCATGGTCTTAAAATCCTTTCAGATTAGTTATCACTGCCAACTTAATTCCTGTCCCAACCTGGCCCTTAACCCGGGAGTGTAACCAACTTCTTGACACTAATTTTCGTCGCTCCAAGTTCCTGGCCGGCCAACTCCAGCATGGTGCTTTACATTCTCCGGACCGCGTCATAACTCTCGTCTTAACTTTTGACCTCAACCCGGGCCCTTAACCCACGTGTTGAACCACTTTCCTGACACTACTTTTTCTCGCTTCAGGTCCCCGGGCCGACCAACTACAGCATGGTGTTTTACTTTTTGTGCGACAAGCCGATCGAGGAGGGCTCGCTGCTGCACCGCTTCATCCACGGGGACGACGCGTTTCGCAACCGGCGCTTCAAGCTCATCCCCTCTATCGTCAAGGTGGGTGCACTCCATCAAATTGCTCATGTCAGCTTTGGATTCCGCAGGTTGGGACCCACTAATAAAAGTAAAAAGTCATGAGTTTTCGCTAACAGTGACGACGCATTCCGCAACCGCCGCTTCAAGCTTATCCCCTCTATCGTCAAGGTGGGCGCACTCCAACAAATTGCTGATCTCAAGCCTTGGATCCCTTAGGCTGTAACCCACTAAAAAATGGGTCAGGTCACAGGGTTATAGACTTTTCAGTGATGGGGACGGCACGTTTTGCAATTGGCGCTTCAATCTTATCCCGTCCATTCTCATTTAAATGCAAGCCTTTGAGGATCCGATACTCAAGCTTCGGTCCGTCAGGCTGAAAGCTACTAGAACGTGTCAGGCTTTGGGGCTATTGGAGTCAAGGATCTTTGGGCTTTTAGTTTCAGGCATCTGGTAAACGGAACTTCGTACGTGAGACGAGGAGGGATCCAGCTGTGTTGTCAAGCTTAGCGTTGCCGTGTTCAATCAAATGACTTCTAGTCGTTGAGGCAATTGTGTTAATCTTGAGGCTGAGTCCTTTTCCCGGAAAGGTTCAGGAAGTTTCATTGTCAGGGACACGTTCTTGATTGAAGCACCAGGATTGGCCTCCGCATACAACACAGTAATATTGCAATGCTTGACCCAGAAGCCGGGCAATTTTAGATCATCTTCCTGGCTCCAAGCTCGGACGTCCGGGCTTGAACCGGTCGCTTTTGCTGCAGGGCTCCTGGGTGGTCAAGCAGTCGGTGGGTTCCACCGCCTGCCTTTTAGGGAACGCCCTCACCATGACGTACGTCCGGGGGAAAGACAATCTAGAGGTGGGTTGCTACTTCGGGGGTGCCAGCTGTGCGCAATCGAACCCCGAGACGGAGGCGATTTATTGAGAGCTCTTGCATAGTGTCATTGAAGAGTATGAAAATGCGCAGTGACTATTGCACCTCGGCAGACGAGTGCAATCTGCCCTTCCTTCAAAACAGGCAGAGACAAAGGAAGCATGCCGAAGAGGGACCAAGCACGACTCCCTGTCCTGACGCGCGACTTCGGAGACATATTGTCATTGCTCAGTTCGAAAGTCCTCGAGGTCGACATCGAAATTGAAACCGAGATCGGCCTGAAGGACGAACTCAACGGCGTCGTCTTTGTCTTGCAGTTCGAAGTGAACATCGGTTCGTCGATGGTTGCCAACGGCATCATGGGGATGGTCGTGGGCTACATCACGCATCTAGTTGTCGACATGGCGTTCCTTGTACAGGTGAGCCCAGTTGTAGAACCTCCTCGCTTTTACAGAATGTGTTGGGGCCTTTTGTTTGAAGCATGTTCACATTGACTCGAGAACGTGGCGGGAGCATTTATTGAGCATGTCTTCGTCTTTTTCGTACTCTCTCTGGGCGTGCGTGCCCTTTCCTTCCCAAGTTCGACTCTAGAGCTTGTCTGGGCTGTCTTGTCACTGATGCTCTTGAGGAGCTTTGCCCAAGCGTTTCGTCAACGCTCCAACGACTGCTTCCGAACATTGTACGTGATACATCTCGTTAGTCCCCAAGTCAGTTTTGGGAATGGTTGGTCTGTACACAAAAACCCCTGTCACGCTCTCCCTCGCTTTTTACCTAATTACACCTTCCGTAAAGCCGTACCAGTCAGTATCACAGCTCAAGTGCGCCTGCTGACGCAAGGTCCTCACACTTTGCTTATGCACAGGGCGACACCCCGGAGGAGCTCCCCGAACAGCTCCTGGGGGCCGTGAGGATATCCCGGCTGCAACTGACGTCAGCCGTCGATCCCCCACCGGTTGACGAAGCGTGACCCGATCCCTCCTTGGGTGGTCACCGCAAGGCCTATAAAGGACAGGGTTAACGTGGACGAAACGAGAGGTATGCGCATGCTTGAGCATGTGATGATCTGCCCGCCCGCTCCTTTTTGGAGCTTAGTTTGAATTGAGGAATTGAGTTGACACGCGTCAAGCACCACTTATACCGACCGGCCCTTTCCGAAGACTTGCACCAGCCAATGCACTGTAAGACTGAGTTTGTACAGTACTGCTGTAAGACTGGGTATATACAGACACTAGTTGAAACCATTACGCAGACAATGTTTTGAACCATTCCCTCACCCTCTTCCGAACCCCTTCGAACACATAACAAGCCCGTTTATAACCTTTAGACCGTCGTAATGCACCGTGACAGCCGCACCCATTGAAACTTGCATATGTCAAGCTGATTGGAGATTTGCCATGTTCGAGCTGCAAGCAATGATGCCTATAGCTTGGTCACTCATTGTCGCTCATCACGAACGCTCCCTACTAACGCCTGCGCATATGGGGCGCATATGTCGAATCTCATCCATGATTATGGATCGTTGCAATTATTCAATGATTAGTTATGCAAACACTAAGTTCATCATGGCATACAATCCACAAATCATGCCTGATATTGATTGACGGTAAGCACTGAGAGTCTCTGTGTTTTCTTGGCGCACTATGCATATCATTGATCGATGCCCACGGATGGGCCGCCGTTTGACATACATCAAAAAGTCTGCAATAAAGACTCATCCACCTACTACCGTACCTTTGCTTATGACATGCTGCATGGGCCGCCGGCCCGTACTGAACAATTTTACGATCATAAAGACCAGGCTGGGCCGCCGCCTATCACATCAGACGGTAGCAGGACATCATTGCAGGATGCACAATTGTAAACGATCAATATCGCGTACGTTGTGCCAGATGCTGCGGGGGGGCGCCGCACATGCTGTCAGATCTATGATGCAAGTCTCTGAGGCTTTGCTCATAGTAGTAAATATGTTTCTGGCTAGCACGCCATGCACACTGCCAGCTGCTGATGCTTGTTTGAGGCATAGGCATTATGCAAGTCATTGACGCAAGCTTCGGCGGCCCAGTACGAGCGCGTGGACAGACACGTACGCACATTGTCGATCGCCGCGTATGGTTAATTGACTCGATCTGCTGCATAATAGTCGATCGTTCAGCCTATCTTTCTCTGTCATGATATGGCCAAAGATTCGACGTTACAGCCGCACGTATCAAGATCTGAGCGTCTGGAAGGCTAAGTTGCTGTCCATGAAACACACGTTCCAACAATCACGAACATGTAAGACGCCCCTAGCTGAACGGGCGGCCCATTCAACATGCAGGACGTCCTCGACCATATAGGTCTCGATTTCATGTTGACTAAGGAAAGTGCCCGGGAGACGGGTAGGGTTGGTTTGGGGGTTAGGGTGAGTACGGGTGCAAAGCGTGTCATTTTGTTGGTTTAAGTTTTTAGTTTTATTCGTTACCCCGAGCACCAACCTTAGTCAACATGCTCTTGGTCAACATGAAGTCGAGAAGTATCTCGACCATCGCAGAGTGCTTAATGACCTCCAGCTGTGATAAGACTCCTTTGTACGAAAATCAATTCAAACCATCCACTTCACCGTGACTCAAAATCCGGACTCGAAGCATTGTTGCGCACTGCCAGCGTGGAAAAGTGCATGCCAAAGCGACCCGTTAAAGTCCCGACTGTATCTGATTGACGAGGAAGTCACGAGGCTACGGTTTAATGCGGTCGCATCTCTCTGTAAAAGCTGATAGACGACCGAAGCTCGCAACCCTGGAACTGGTCACAAATCACGTACGAAAGCTAAGAAAAGACTGAAAACTCAAAATCACGGAACGGTGACAACAATCTTTCCCGTCGCATGCCCCCCGAGGCACCGCTCCCACGCCTTGTCCGCCTCCTTGAGCGGCGTCTTTGAATCGACCACCGTTTTCAGCTCGCCCCTGCCCATCATCTCAATCAGCAGCTTCAGATCCTCCGCCTTCGAGCAGTCGCAGAAAATGGGAATCATCTTCTGCCCCGCGAACGTTACCGACTGGATCGCCGTCCGCAGGAAAGTGGAAAACTCGGGAATCGTGCTTACGACACACCCCTTGGGGGTGAGCACCCGGTGAAAGTGGTCCCACTTCTCCGGAACCGCCGTCGTGTGCAGGATGACGTCATACAGCTCGCCACCCGGGTGCGCGAGCGGGTTGTCCGGGTCCGCGACCGCCCGGTAGTCGATGACGTCATCGGCGCCGAGGCTGCGCGCGAGGTCCGCGTTGCGCGCGCCGACCGTGACGGTCACGTGGGCGCCCGCCTTCTTGGCCAGCTGCGCCGGGTGTGGAGGGTTAATCCAAACCCGCGGCTTAAAGGTTGTGAAAAGGGTTAAAGTTCGTGGAAATAGGCGTTTGGATGATGTGCTGTGAAAAGGTTGTAGGGATTTCAGAGGACCGCTTCTCCTGGGAGGCAGGGACGAGAGTCGGAAAGAAGCTTCGAGGACTTCGAAAGAGAAACCCTGCAAGAAGGCAAAGAAGCAAACACAGGAGTGACGCGACTTCGCGAGACGCGGTCAGAAAAGCACTCTAACCTCCGTTCTCGTCAAGACGGTTGATTGTGACATAAGTGCGTCTCAGGCCGCGATAACAAGGCGAATCAAGCGGCATGTGTGCACAACGGTAGGCGGTAGGCTCCACGCAGGCTCTTCCTCTTACGATCTCAAACACGAAGTTCTCTATCTTTGCGAATTTGTTTTTCTGGCCGGTTTTTGCTCTGCTCAATGGAGCACAGTCCTTGTCCATCTGACTTTCATTTTCAGTCGGGGCGATGCGCCGACGCGCCTCCGCAATCAAAAAGCATCTGAACAAGTGTCACAAAATTTCGTACGAAGCAGGAGACATCAAGCGCATGAACAGTTCGAGGCTGCAGCAGGCAAGATCGTTCAGATGAGCAACCAGTTCCGCTTTTGAATTTTAACCAGCCCCTGAACAGCATCGTAAGTCTGTACCCCTTTGGCTATCAGTAGCATCACGACCCTTGAATTGCAAATGGAGAGTCGGCTGGAGGTTAGGAATCCGGTCGAATCAGTTGACCGGTGTGATTGGACGCCCTGCGGAGCTTAGATGCCTTCTCCTTAGGCGACCGCAGAAACGAGCAAACGGTCCTTCGAACTGATGGACCAGATGTTGTTCGAAGATTTCACTTTCCCTTCTTTTCACGACAAAGTCCCATGGATACGTTCCTGAACACCTGCACCGCGTCTGCGAACTCTTCTGGAAGCCGCCACAATAAGAATTCGGCCATTCACTCAACTGAGAATGAACCGTTTATTGAAATCAACCAGCCGTGTTCCGAGGATTCTCTTTTCTCTCATTTTGGTTTCTGACGCTTTCCCAAGAAGATTGTGCCAGTTACCTGCACCGCATAAGCGCCCACTCCCCCTGACGCCGCCATGATGAGCACCCGACCCTTACTTGACCAGCAAAAGAATGTTCCAAAGCTTTTCATCTTTCGAATATTCGTTGCCTGCTCTCTTTATCCATGTTAAGGTTCCACGTACCTGCACCGCATAGATGCCCACTGCCCCAGGTGCCGCCATTACGAGCACCCGGCCATTCACTCAAATAATATCCAACTGATGACAATATCAATCAGACGTTTCTCAAGGGTTCTTCTATTCCTGCCGTGTTTTCTGACGTTCTTCGAAGAGATTGGGGTGCAGCGCATAGATGCCCACTCCGCCAGACGCCGCCATTAT